GGACGCACCCTCAAGGGGCGAGAGGTCTGAAGCGCAAGACCAAGCACAGGAGAATGACAAGAAGGGATAAAGATGTGGCTCAGGTGGGGGATGAGGATGGCCCTCACGCAGTAGTGGGTCCAAGCAGCGTCAATATTTAGATGCGAGTAATCGATGTCTCCAACACCAACCACCACTCTGCTCTGCTTTTGTACGGCCCCTTTGTACGCTGCCTAGCAACGACACTGCTTTCCACCTCTATCTCACTGTCGTATCCAGAGCATGCTTTGCGTATGGGCAATCGGATGTTTCAAGCAGCATTGATCGATGAACGCTGTGATGAGCTTGCCCGTCAGGCTGGCCTTTTTTTTTTGCCGCAAGACGCGCCGTGAACGGTACGTTTGCAATCTTTTGTATTTTGCGCAGACACGAGAGCCAAAATTTGTGTAGGCGCACGGATCATGCATGCGTGGCGCGCCTCAAGTTTGGCCTTGATGAGAAGGAGCTCGCTTTGTGACTGGGCACATTTGTGTCTTTGCACCCGTCTCCTCCCATTGATCCCATGCTCCACTCTTGTAGCAACTGTAACCCACTCGCGGAGCTGAAAGGGCATCATCATCACGAGAGGCTCGCTGGAGCTGCAAGCAACGAATCATGTCCAAACCGATGCTCACATTCGTCACCGGCAATGCCAACAAGTGCGTACGTGATACAAGCAGTGTCGAGTCGAGCAAGGTCGGCCGGCCATGCTCAAGAGTATGCAATGCCTTCCTATCGCCGTCTTGCACGCAGGCTCAAGGAGGTCAGAGCCATTCTGGCATCGGCGCCGTCCTTTCCCTTTGAACTCGTCAATCGAGACCTAGATAGTGCGTCCAGGTCTGTCTTTTGATCGTCGCTCTTCATTGACAATGGCTTGCTTTCGCTTTCGCCAGCGATCGAGGTTCAGGGCACTACGCAGGACGTTGCGCGTGCGAAGTGTAGCGAGGCGGCCAAGATTGTACGCGCGAGCGCCCGTGGTGGGCCAAAGTCGAGGTACCAGACGCTTACTCTACACATTGTTTTGCGTTACACAGATTCAAGGACCAGTCATCACAGAGGACACTGCCCTCGGCTTTTCAGCCCTGAAGGATCTTCCTGGAGCATACATCAAAGACTTTTTGAAGGCTCTTGGTCATGATGGCGCGTTTTTTTGAGCGCCTTGCTGCTTGAACCGCTAGCAATGCTGACTGGTCTCACATTCTCTTTCCACACCACAGGTCTCAACTCCATGCTGGCTGGCTTCGAGGACAAATCTGGCACAGCGTTGTGCACGTTTGCGTACTCGTCGGGCCCAGGCGCAGAGGTGCTCCTCTTTGAAGGTCGTACTGCGGGTAGCATCGTGCCAGCTCGCGGGCCATCCAACTTTGGCTGGGATCCAATCTTTGAGGTGCAGGGAAGCGGCAAGACGTATGCCGAGATGAGCGCGGAGGAAAAGAACAAGGTCTGTCTGCTTCGAAGCGCCGTGCGAGGGCAGGTGTTGTTTGCTGACTTGCTAATGATTCAATCTAGCTATCGCACAGATACAAGGCGCTCGCGCTGCTTCAAGAGCACCTGCTCGGGATCGGGAGGCGCTCGGAGGCATCATGATTGGAAATGGGATCGAATTTTCCAATCTCTTGGCGTGAGCCCTGGGGTGATCATGGCGAGCAGCTCAGAAGCGCGCACGATGAGGCCCGCCGGATCGATTTCATCCCCAGCCACTCGAGAGCGGTTCAAAGTGTAGCAAAGGCAGACGACAGACGTGCGCACAAGTTGTTGCATTCCAAACCTCTTGACGTGGTCGAAGGCGGCACAGACAGAGCTCGTCACGTGTCAGAACGCCGCCGTTTACGCGACGCGCTCCATCGCGCGAAATGAAAGTGTTGGCGCAAACGGCGGCCATTCAAGAGTGGCAATAACTGCCGCACCGAGCGTTGGCGCTTGCTTGGTAAGCTTCGCTCGCCATCTTCCACCCAAATCAGCTGCAGCAGCAGCAGCAGCAGCATCGGGTGGACACAGCGACAAACAAGCTTGGAGATCTGACATGACATGTGCGTGCTTGATGTATGTACGGTATGCAGGCCGAGATCATGTCTGCTTCGACCTCTTGACCTGCTGGGAATTTGGATGCACAGATGTGTGTGTGTACATGCTGGAGGTTGTCATCACATGAACGCATCTCGATATCAAACCCTTTGGAGCCAGGCTGGAGAAGTTGTAAGGGACTGAAGTCTGACTCTCTCTCTCTCTCTTTCTCACACACACTCTTCTCGCTGGTCCAGAATGATCCAGAAGAGGCGAGCCGTCGTGTGCTCGGATAAAAGACAAATCACCAATGCCGAGTACGGGAGCCGGATTTAGATCGGCTGCTAGATCTCGCCTAGCTGTTTCGCGCTTCTTTTGACTGGTCTAGTGCCACAGCGGCGACTACAACGGTGTCGTGAGTGTGACCCACTTGGGTTCGCATTGGATCCGTTAGCGGATTGTGGCGGGCGCTCTTCAAGTCCAAAATGACAAAATGAGATACCGTCAAGTGCAGGCCGAGAAGAGCTGATTCAGGATCGGCTAGGCAAATGCGGATGCATAGAGCGGGTGCTGTAGGGCCTCGAGGGCGACAATGTGAGGATTGGAAACGCGGGTTGCGATTTCGCGCCACGCTTGCAGCTCAGGATAACGTCTTAGCAGGCTTATCTGTTCAGGCAAGCACCGCCCCCCCCCGCCCCCCGCCTCACCAGCAGCACGTTGGCCCACACACCCTCTTTACACAGCGCTATAACGGCACGGAAGCGTTCAACCTGCACGATGCTGCTGCGTGTGGGATTGCATGGACACGACCGCTTCATCGTAAATGCAAGATCGTCTTTGCGTCGGGCCGTGCTGCTGGTGGAGAAGCGTGCTTGCACCACTACTATCAGTGCCCAACGAAGTTTCTTTTCGTCTTTCTATTTCGACACCACCAGCTGGACAATCTCACCGGACCGGCTTGTAATCTGCCCAGCAACGTACTGCTGCCACGCGGCTCCAGCGAATAGGAGATCGTGCGGCCCAATCACATGGATGAGGTGGTGAACGGCGAAAGCTTTCGGGGCACACCGGCAGGTCGCTTCTGCTTGGCGCGGCATCCTGCGATGCACCTCTCCTGTGATGCACTGACTCCGCCTTGGACCTGCGTCAACTTCTTCTGAACCGGTGGGCCGCACTGCTGCACGCCTCACGACTGCGTGTGTGCCCGCGTGCGCGTGCGCGTGCGCGTGCGTGCATGTGCATGCGTGGATGACAGGCACTGTGTGCTGACCGGACCCCGAGGATGGGCAGGCGTCAGGTCAGTCTGGTTCAAAGTACTCATCGACTGTCTTCACTGCCCGGAAAACCGCCGCCGAAGGGGGGCAGAGCGTCGCGCAGCAGTGCAGCGGCAGCTCCTTTCACCTCGTCTTTTCTTTTCACGCCACGCGTACGTGTGTGATCGCGCACGCGGGTCGTTTCTGTCAAGTGGGCGGCGCCGAGAGACCATTCGAGTCCGGAGCGCTGACCGACATGCCAGATCACGCCTTGGAGCCTATCTATGATGTTCCACATCTGGGTGCGCAGCAGCAACCCCGAGACAATGGCACGCATTTGACGACTGTAAGCGTGCGAATTCGCAGGCCACCAACCGCCAGCAGCTGGACTGCGTCCAATGCGCGCGCGATTAACTTCTCGAGCGGGATATCGATGGTATAGATAGCCGGACGAGTGGGAAGGGAACCCGCCGCCGCAATACGTCCGCTGAAGAGTGAGTGTGTCAATCACCACGAGGCGTCCGTCGTGCCCTCAGCTTTGCCAAAGTGGTCTCTTTGACTGGAGACCAAAGTGGTCTCTTTGACTGGAGAGGAATATTCCTCGCACCGCTTCATGGGCCAGGTGAGGTCCAGGATCGAAATCCGTACGTGATCTTGAATCAATTGCGATTCACTTCGAGGAGGCGAGTGGCAGCATGTTGTGATGTGCGGCTTGCGGAGTTGCATACTGATGAGTTGCTGCCATGCAGAGGATGTGCCCGCTGCGGGCACCAGTGCAGCCATCGGTTCGCCATTCGACATTCGTCTCGTGAAGGGCGTCGAGCGCGCGTCTCACATTGCCCGAGCACTTGCTGTGCGCACCACAATGATTCCCAATCGCAAAAAGTGCGTGCGGCTATACATGCAGCGCTCGCGAACCAGATATCGAGTCGCAAATCGATCGAGAACAGGCTAAGCTGTAGGTCTGGACTTTTCTTGGAGTTCTTTCGTGATCCAATCGTGAAGCGTCATTGGAACGCACACTTGGCGCACTTCAATCCACATTCGCGATGGGCTCGGCTCCTAGCGCCGGAAAGTTTTTGCAAGTTTTACTAGGAAGGGTTTCCTTCTCGAGCAAATTGTCTGTCTAGCCCCAGCCACGAGCCCCCCTAGCACATCAGTCTTCAGCCGCGGCCGGGCGAGAGATACCGAAGACTGTTGTGTACGCAGTGGTAAATCTCCTTGACTTGCTTCCTCCCTGGGTCGTGTAGGCCGACCCGACGCGACGCGCAAGATGTGATTTCCAGCTCCGTCAAGACAAGCAGTCACAATAATACAGTCACCAGTAAGAATTCCAGTCACGGCTGACGTGGTTTGACGACTTCTGACGAGCTTCACGCACATTGCAACCACTTGCGCTGTCTCACCTCCGCGCTCTCCTCGCGCCCGCGCCGACCCGACACCTCCAGAGTCAGTCGACCATCCCCAAGCATATAGTCCCATTTGCCCCGTCTCGGTTTCGCTCTCGTGAATGAGAGCATCAGCTATTGATTTCATGGGCCACTTCTCCTCAACACACGAAAATTGCCGTGTGGGACTGATTCGGAAGCTGTCTGACCTCAAACTGTGCTCTTTGCACTCTGCCCATCTAGCACCCCTGCTCGAGACCTCTGCTCAAGGCGCCCAAAGAGGAGGACGAAAAAATACTGCTAGCGGAGTTTGATTTGCTGTGGATCCAGCGACTGAGCAGACTCCTTGGCTGGTGGTGACGGCACATCCGCTAAGAGCTGCCGCATGCATGCATGCAAGACACAGCGCACTTGCCCGGCGCTGTCGAGTCGCCTGCCTCGTCGCGAGGCGGGTCGATCTGCTGTATAGCCAGCGAACAACTTGGAGGCAAGTGTGGCGGCCGTTTCACGATACACAGACGCATGCAAGAAGCAGCAGGCGCGCCAGCAGTGCGGACGTGCCTCCTCATGCAGGCCAGCGCATGCATCCGCACACATCCGCATCCACGGCTGCTGGTCGGTGAGCTGCTCGACTGTTCTCCTGCCCCCTCCCTCTCATCCATCCCATCCATCCGCGCCCGAGAGTCGAAGCACCAATTCGACCGGCTGTTCGGCGCCTCAAAGGGCAGAGCTCCCAAATCCGTCCAAGATCCGAACGCCCTTCCCCTTACCAGTCTCCTTCTCTTCCCACGTCTCCAAGTCGCGCCGGGGGGCCACAAGCGTTTCTGCTCTCAGATCATACAGACATAGGCAACCCTCGTCGTCGTCGTCGTCCTCCTCCTCACCATTTCGACCTTGTGTTCTGACACCACTCGCCAACTTTCTCGATCCTCGACTGCGGTCCACTCGCATCCACTCGACGAACCCAGCCAGCCACCATGTACTCGCCGACTGGTTATTACGGCCAACCAGGCCAACAGCCTGGTAGCTACGGCTACTCTGCACCTCTGGGCGGTTCTTACGGCGCGCCGAACGGAGCAAGCAGCGCCCATCACAGCGGCAGCAGCACGCCCACAGGCGGCATCGGAGGCCAGCCTGGCGCTCAAACGCAACACCACTTTCAACAAGGTTTCGGCGCCCCAGGTGCCCCGGGCATGTTTTCCGCCCCCTACGGTGGACCTCCGCTCGCGGGCCATCACGGAGCAGGCTCGCCTGGCGCAAGCAGTCCTTACTTTCCAGGCGCTATCCCCAACGGCAATCCCAATCCTCATGTGAGTCCGCGATCGTGGCGTACCCCGTGTCAAGGCCGTAGTCAGCATCTGTTTGTGGGAGCGAGCACCGGCGCGTCGCCGAACGAAGCGAGCACCAGCGCGTCGCCGAATAGAGGCGCAGCCGCGCCTTGCCGAGAGCGAGCCACTTCTGCATATCCATCTCGGTCCTTGCGCCTTGGTCATCTTTGCGTGATCTGTCAATCTCGAGCAAATGATTGATCATGTGCGCGCGCCAGAGCGCTCCTGCTCAGGTAACGCGCTGGCGCGCGCGTGGGTACGCGTGACGCGCGCGCGCTTGCGCGTTATTTTCCGCTTCAGCGTGTCTCGGGTGTTAGGTGACCGTCCACGCTTACCGGCAGGGGCCGAGCATTCGCCGTCACATTTGGCGCATCGACGATCGAGGACTGGCTTCCAAAGAGGGTCCCAAAGCCGTTCCTCGAGCTGATGCGAGTCGATGGGCTGAGACAAGGGTGCGCTTGGCCCTCACCGGACTACAGCTTCCGCGTCGCTGGATACTCAGCAACAGCAATTGGCTGAGTATGCGCAGGTGTGCACTGCCAATCAGCCAAAAGGTTGGAATCGGCTTGCAATCTGAATCAGATTGGCATCTCGTCGCAGGTGGTCGTCGGAAACGCGATCCCAAATCGGTCTCAGAGTCGCGCTCGGCCGAACTAGCTTCAACATGTTGCGCATGCGAACATTAAGGGTGGGGGAATAGCGAAGCTCTCGAGGCAGGGTCTGGGCTGCGGCGATTTGGCCGGGCATCGTACGATCCGTGCTAAGCTGCAAGATTGGCGGCGCTGCACGAAGCTCGTCTTGAATGCAGGCAAGCACGCCTGCAGTGCACATAAAAAAGGCGCATCGCAAAGCTCAGTCTTGTCTATGAGCATTTGCAATCCGCTCAAAAGGCGTTCCTGGCAGTGCGCTGGACATTCTGCTGACGCACGCCGATCCACGCTTCTGCCTTTTCCTTGTCCCCTCTGCTGCCCTCTGCACACTGCGATGACGACGCTCTGCGCGCTTGCGTCCATGCCTGGCTTTGATCTTGCCGCTGCTGCTGCACTTTCTTGCAATGACGCGGCAAACATGTCTGCCTCGCCTGACTTGCACTCCCACGACCTGGTCGATTTGACGTCGCTCTGGGGCTACTGCGACTCGCTCGCACCGCCGCCCGACGCGTCTACTCCCACCACCCGATCCACATCGATCGATGCCCAATCAACTGCTACTTCTTCCGCCTCGGGCGCTTCGATTCGCCAACGCGTCACCGCCGCCGTCAAATTGCCTCCTGCTCGACGCTGGAACCCTGCTCGCTCCAAACAGCTGGCTTCCGCATCCTACACGTCCGCTCCTCAATACAGCACCCAGCTGCCCATGGCCGGTCGTCACCGCGTCACTACCACGCTCTGGGAAGATGAGGGCACGCTTTGCTTTCAAGTAGATGCACGAGGCGTCTGCGTCGCTCGCAGACACGGTGAGTAAAGATGAGCCGCCCCTGTAGACAGGATTGCTGACGAGATTGTTGCTACCGACGCAACTCTGCAGACAACAACATGATCAATGGCACCAAGCTACTCAACGTCTGCGGCATGTCTCGTGGCAAGCGCGATGGTATCCTCAAGAACGAAAAGGAGCGCGTCGTCGTCAAAGTCGGGGCGATGCACCTGAAGGGCGTATGGTGAGTTGGGCTCGTCGCAGCTTGTGCGTCGCTCGTCGCAATGCTCAAGCATCCCGCGTCGTCGGCGGCACACGGCAGGATTACCTTTACTCGTGGCAAGCAACTTGCGGAACAGAATGGAATTTCGGAAGTGCTGTACCCTCTCTTCGAAACGAACATCCAATCATTCTTGTACCACCCGGACAACTACCCTCGCACGGCTGCGGTCATGGCAGCGGCTCAAGAGCGACACGCGTCGCGCTCCCGTGTTCCGGGTAGCCCCGGCCACGCAAACGGAGCCGGACCTGGCTCGCATCGTCCGAGTGGTGGCGCTCGTGAAGAGGATGGAAGTGCGCCGCTAGGTCTGCCAGGATCCAACCAGTCGTGGGGTCACCCTCCAGCCTCGACCACTCAGCACCATTCCGGTAGCGCTGGCGGCTACAATTCCAACACCGCTTCCCCTCACCTTTCCTCGAGCCACCAAGCCGGTGCTGTAACCGGTGGCGCTCAGAGCTACGGAGCTCGCGCAGCTTCTGGAGACCGCCGTCACAGCAACGTAGGCCAGCAGGATGGTCACGCTGGAGGACATGCCAGTGTGCCGTACGGCCTTGCTCAGCCCTCGCCAAACGCTGTCCCTGGCGGTGCTCGCCGCTCTGCAAGCGGCTTGAAGCGCAGCTACGATGAACACGGCGACTCGAGTGACAGCATCGCCCCACCAGCTCCAGCTCCTGGCATGGCGTACGGAGGATTGTCTTCGAATGGATCGAACGGAAGTCTTGCTGGCAACGGGTACGGGCACGGGGGAGAGAGCCCACGCATGTACAAGCGTGGCCGAGACAACACCAACGGCGATGTCTCTGGTGGCGACTATTCCGGGGCCGAAGCCGACGTTTCGCGCTCTCGGCCCCAAGGTGAGGTGCGCACATGGAGTTGGCCCGAAGCGAAACGGAAAAGGTCGCGATGCTGACGCGCTTGGCTCCCCCCCTTTCAGTGAATTCGCTCCGAGCGGGGGGTTGCTAGACGCCGTCCCGCTACAGCGCCGCGCGAGCGTTCCTCTACCCCGCACTCGACTCGAGCGTTCCTCTACACCACCCCGGGCGGTAGTTGCGCCGCGCCAGCGTTCCTCTACCCCGCACTCGACTCTCGCTTTCGATGGCAATCGCAGCAGTCCGTGCAAGATCCCACGACAAGGCGTCGCCCCCCTCCACAACCCAGGCCTGTACTTTTCCTCGCGCTCTGACCTCTGATCACGACAGTCCTCCGCCACTAATACGCTTCGATCCACATTGTCTCCAATGGATAGTCCA